TTCTAGAATTATAACCGAACTAAAACTATAACCAAATGATTTTTTGTTCAAATAACCAAAACTTTTTTTTGTAGAATCGAACCGAACCAACCGGTTCGATTCGGTTCTGATTTGGTTTGGTTTGGTCATTCTAGAACCAAGAACCAAAATTATAACCAAATGATTTTTTGTTTGAATAACCAAAACTTTTTTTTTTTTGTAAAATCGAACCGAACCAACCGGTTCGATTCAGTTCTGATTTGGTTTGGTTTGGTCTGGACATTTTGTCCACCCCTACTTACATGACTGAAAATAAAAGTCTATGGGACCTCGAAGCTAACATAATTTAGTTGAGAACTCAAGTGCTACATTTATGAAGTTTAGGGATCTCGTCAGCTAATTTCCTTCCACCAATCAACGCAACGTGTGTGCATTGCACTTTCCCGCCATTTGTCACCCTACTGTGTGCAGTCAGTCATCCTGTAACTCGAAATGGGGTCACATCAACGGATTAAAACTCACTGGTGGGACCCACCATAAGCATCCTACGGTCTACGTTTTTCAACGTGCCTAGACATCAGTGTTTGGTCACTTCTCCCTCGAACTCCTACAAATAAATATACATTTCCCACACAGTTGACAGTACACAGTGAACGCTCTCAGGATATATAGATACACAAATCTGTATCTACATCCTCTTCTTTCGACTTTCGTCACTGCCCCCACTTCCTCTTTCTATATAAAATTTCTGTGAATTCTGGCTTTTCCTCGACCGAAAGAGAAATTTCTGGTTCTGATTAGTAAGTCAAAGTAGGCTTTACTGATTTGGGAGGTTGATGGAGGAAGATAGGGTTTTATAGGTGGGCAAAATGGAAAATTCTTGGCAGAGCAAATGTGGTTTGGTGTGGCAACAATCATCGATGCCTCCTCCGCCTCCTCTGGAAGCTTCATCATCGCACGAGTTTCAGAATCAGGTGTATTTTGTATAAATGCGATTTCCAGATTTTTTTTTCTTTTTTGATTTTGCTTGCATGTCGCATTTGGTAGTGAAGTACTTCTGGCAGAGAAATTTGTCGATTTCGTAGTGGTTTCAAAACATGCAATTACAAGGATGTGGGTATAATATGAAATGGTAATGTAATGACATTCGTGTACAGGATACAGCATTAAGTGATATATGCTGCTCTTACATTGCTGCTTTGATTTTCGTAAGCATTATTTTGTGGCTTTTGGTAGGTAAATTTCTTTAAAACGAAAATGACAATGCCGAAGGGTGCCCGTGCTCTTTTTTTACTGCACATGGTACACCAATTTGTTTTTGTACACTTCAAGTTCGTGCCTTACTCTATAATTATTTGTTTCTTTCGTGGAGGTTGCAGAGTGGAGGGTGTGTAAGCTTACATTGTTTTTCTTTAATCTATGCACGAAGGAAATAAAGAAATTGCACTTTTACAGTTATTGCGGTAGATACAACAGTTTTCTAGAATAAAACAAAATTGTTTTCTATGGTGTGATTAGCTCCTGCGTGTACTTTGCATTTTTGGTTTGGTTGGATGATACATTTGTGAGCTGTGTTTGCTATCAGTCTATCTTAGTGAGATCGCAAAAAGTGGATGGGCGTACCATGTGCTTTTGATTTTTAATGTATGATTTGATGTGAACTATACATGGAGAAATTTCCATGAGATCCTATATTAATCATCCATTTTAATGGTTAGGGGATGGGTGGGGAAAACGATCACATTGACTGCTAAGTAGAATTCTGTGATATGTTTTTGCTGGCAATATCAATTGCAAGCAATACAAATTGAAATGAACTCGTGAAACATTCTTGTGGACTAGAAGCTGAATGAAATCGCGTCTCTTTTAATATTTTTATTTGGCAGGAGTTTACAAACTAGTCTCTGGCCTTGTGGATCCAATAGTATGCATGTTTCAGCAGCTCAATTCAAATTCACTACATGCTTAGGTGATATGTGTTAATATTGAAAGAGAAATCAGGCAATTTCATTTTGGTAAACATATGTTAAGTATCTATCTAATTACTGTGTTTGAAGCATTTATGATTGTTGTTCCATTCAGGCATGAGATGTGCACTGTTTTCCATAGATATATATTAATCATTCAATTTACTGCACGTATGTTCTTTTCTATAGACATTCTGTAGTGTTTATTTATCAAATTATTCTTCCCAAATTATTTCAATTTTACGACACCGACTCTATGAAGCTAAATTCCTCTCCTTGCTCCAGCAAGAACAGTTTTTGACTGCAAAGCATCTTTCTTGTTTGCAACTTCCACAAGAATCAATGCCATTGGCCCGCGAAATGATTCAAGAACCTATATTTTCGAATTCATCAAGTTTCTACAAACCAGGCAACGCTGAGCTTGGAACTCCGTATTTATCTCTTCTTTCTGGGCCATCATCGTTTTTGCCTTGTGATTTGCAGCGGTTATCACATCCAAAGCTTGTTGTCAATTCCAGTCAAGTTCCTACAAATAGGTCTGCCGCTGGCTCTGCTATGGGAAGTAGAGTTTCACTTCTTCCTAGTTGGTTGTGGCTGCAAAATATGGACAGCCAGAATGTGAAATCTGGGGCAGATTTCTGCCCGGTTATTTCATCCAGTGCTATGGTAAGTTCGAACCATGACAATAGTTCTGGTCTAAAGTTACTTCAGGCTGCAGAATTAAATCTTTGGAAATCAGAACTTGCTAGGGTAGTAGTGTGTGAAAATCCCCATGAGACTGATTTGGTAAAGGGTGGTTCTTCTTTGATGGGGGTAGATAATCCTGGCTCAACCTCTGCTAACGTTTCGAAGCTCCAAAATGGTGCTAATGTTGTAGCATCACAAAAAGTTCCTCTAGAAATTGATTTTTCTGGTTGCAGTCAGACACCTAATCTTCCAAGTGGCTGTCCTCGCGTATTTTGTTCGGGCACAAGTTAGTGCTTCTAACTTGATTCCTTGTTTTTGCTTAAAAGATATTTTCCTTATGTATTTTGTATATCTGTTCTCATTGGTTTTGATGATTCCAAAAGGTGGAGATTTACTTCTTAGCGATACTGGACTTCTTGGCGTTGTTTGCTCGTGCCATGGATTTTATATGTCTATCTCTAAATTCTCAGAGGTAATTTACCTTTGGATTTTTTTGTTTTGCATTGGTAATTGCTGGATGGAGTTAATCCTTTGATCTGCTCAATTTCACTTCAGTTTTGCATGTGTTCATGTTAGAAACGTGTTTGAACTGCAATTTCTATGCAGCATTCTGGCTTATACAATGTTAATCCCGCGAACACTGTTTGTATGGACAATGGAGATACTATAGCACACTGGCGGACGTCCTACTTTTCAAAAGTTGGGGTAAGTTAAGGGCAGTCTGTCTGTTTCTTACAACTTGCCTTCAAGAAGTGGTTTCCTGTATGCGAATTTAGATGAGAGAGAAAAATCATACACAACTTTATCAATGATGTCAACAGTCTGACAATGGCTAGAAACTATTTTTAAAGAATTACCCAAGGGTGCCCATGTAACAGCTATCCAAAATATTTGGTATTAATTTAATGAAGTAGCACTTTCTTATGATCTGATGGTTTTTGCCTGCACCTTGGTTTCTGGTGCATCCAATGCATTTTTTTCCATCCTATTTTCTACCTACTTGCGTCACAGACTTGGAATTGTATTTGATCTTTGGAATGGAAAACATTATCTTTTATATACGTGTTTTTGAAGCAATATGAACACTGAGTGGTGATGTTTTTATGATGCTTTAGATTAGGATACCAGAGGATCACAAAGGTTGGGATTGGCCTGAAGGATTTTCAGCAGCTCCTGCTTTGACGAATCATTTTACATCTAATATACCAAACAACACCGGCTTCTTCAATGAAGTTTGTCCGGTGGGGACTTCAGGAGGCTCTGGGCAGCCACAACGCCATGTTACATATTTGAAGGATCGGCACAGTGGTAAAAAAATGGTTGATGGGTTTCAATACAATGGAAAACAAGGAAATTCTCAGGAATATAATAGTTCTCTTTTCAAGGGTTTCATTGACACATCTCAAAGCAATTTGCATCCTGAAGATATAATGTGCACATCAAATTCAGTTGGCACAAGAGGTCCAGACAAAGCTTCTGAGCCCTCTACAGCTAAACTTGATTCAATCTTAAAGAGTGCAAGCCCATTTTATGCTCTTCCTAATTTTCAATACGTAAAATGCTCTGGTAAGGGTTCTGATGTCAGTAGGAATATTAGTGCCCTCAGGGAGGGGCTGTCAGTTCCTTCTAATATTGAGTTGAGACTTGGCCAACTGCCAAAGCATAGTCAAACATTGGGAAGTTCAGCTCCACTAGACTTTGGACTTCATTTGATGGGCACACAATCAGGGCCCCGGAAATCATTCTTTTCGGACCAGCTTCTGCACAAAAGTCTTTTAAATGGTTTCTTCTTAGACTTTATTACTTCAATACATCTTTGTTTTCATTCACTATACAACAATGGCCTTTTATCTTTTCAAAAAATTTATTCTAAATTTGCTTCTGAAAAATTACCACACTTAAACTGTGTTATGCGGCAGGCAGCTACAGGGTATCAGAAGGAGTTAAGCAAACTCATCAGATTGCAGATATCACTTCTAATACTAGCGAAAGGAGAGAAACTGTCCAGTTGAACCATGTACCAGGAGCCTATAATGCATTTGTTGATCATCGGATAGATTCATATAATGGTGGTGTTGGAAGGGGTGGTTCGGTAATTCACCCATTGCTTTCATGCTTTAAAAATTCAGAGGCAGAAGTACAGTTCAGAAAAGTTAATGATATAGCCAATAGTAGTCATGATGTCACCGAGAAACCACATAGTGAACCGCATGCTTCCAAATGTGACCCACATTGTTTTCCTTGGAGTAGAGTTGCAGGAAATATCATGGAATCTGATGATACTATGCTAAATGCACAGAAGCATGTGAGCAAAGGAAAAGGAGCCGAATGTGCTGTCAACAACTTACCTGCTGCAGCTGAATTAAATTTTGGACTCCACAAGCCATTTAAGGAAAGTCTAAGCAGCTTTAATGTTGTTCCGGTCAAGAGTGATATCACCTTTTCAGCCTTTCATGAGAAAAGCCCTACTGTGTCTCCGAGGTCTTCTGTGATTAATAATGAACCTAATGCTACAGACACGTTAAACAATTCCTGGAAGATTTCCCCCCTCTCTCATACTGGACATTCTGCACTTGGTTATCCTAGATCAATCAATAATACCACGCTTTCCTCGACAAGTTCGGTTTGTGTTGAAAGTACAACCCCAGCATTGTCAAAGAAAAAGTTTAGTGGAGTAAACCCTGGTATACTGGATGAGAATATGAAAATGCTTTCAGTGCAGTACATGTTGGAGTCACCAAATAGACATGCTGCTGCTTCTGTTAGAAATCTTCGAGAGCCAGAGATGCTCAATAAACCTTTTGCAAAACCACACGTGACTGTTGGCCAGACGATATCAAAAGATCATATGCAGGTACTCAAGGGTTCAAGTGTGCCAAAAATGTCTGAAGCTGTACTGAAATCTACCTTATCTGATGCTACTTGTTGGAGAGGTCTTAATAATGAAAAATTAGCTCTTCCGACAGGCAAGTGCCGCCTTTCGAAATTTAAATTTTGGAATTGAGAATAAATGTTTTAGGTGTATTTTGCCTCTTCTTTTCCTATACAGCTACTGTAGTGACTAGTGCTACTGAATAAGAATGTGCTCCAATTTAGATTTAAATAAATGGTGCAACTTCTCCATGCTTTCAGAAGGAACTTCTTTTCATACTGAAGCTGGTGGAGTTCCATGCCGATGCTCTTGCAATCTTCATCCTATGGAGAAGCTTTTCTTAAGGTGACTTCTATTGACTTACCTTTCGTTTTCTGGTTAGTAAATTTATATAAAAAACCACCAAGGTAGGCTAGATCATGTACAAAAGCGTGCAAGCCAGCATCCAGCAATTCAGTCGCTTAAAAATCATTAGTCACTGTTTCGTGCCTTAGACTATTATGATGTCATGTCACGACATTAATTATATGTTTCGACATATGGTTGCATATACATTTTCAAGTGGAGAGCAATTAATTTGTTCGTATGAATCCCTTGTGGTAGTATATGTAGTTTCTTGGCTTGCTATGTGCTCTCTTTACAGAAATAACTTGTCCAAAATGCATTCGATGCAAATCTATATATCTAACTGGAGTAACTGTAAGAACATGGAGAGAAATTGTTGCCTAACAGTGTTCTTATTAATAAATGGATGCTCTATTTGTACCTATAATTTCAAGTCACATGTTCATGCGTTCAAAGATGACTGTTCCTGAGTAAATTGTCAGTTATCACATTTGCACGTCCTATCTAGTTTTCCTAAAATTCTCATCATAATAAAATTCAGATTTGGAGGAAATAAAAGAAACATTACTTCAAGTGAGGAAGAGGTACTCTTTCAAGGGTTACCATATGTCTATGTCCCAGAGAAGTGCAGATGTGCTGTTCATTCGCACTGTTTGGCCGGAAAATATGACTTAAAGGGTGGCAGGTTTTGTGATTCATTAAATGATCAGGAAGGAATTGTTAATGGAAGGTCCAAAAGTTTGTTTAGATCAATGTTGGATGGAAACTCTATTTTCTCAAAGGAGAAGGCCATATCATTCTGTAACACTGAAAATTTAGTGGCCAAAAACATGGAGACAGTTCAATCCCATTCTTTTCACCATGTGCCAAGTGAGGTGTTGGAGACCGGCAGTTCAAAAAGGAAACACCAGCAAGCTGGTTCGTTTAATAGTAATGGAAATGTAGAGGACTCTGCTGTTGATGCTGCTAAATGTTTTGCAAGATCTTCTCAAAATGCTGAGCCATTAAAGGAACAAGAATTGTCTAATGTTTCTTCTGGATGTTCTGCTCCTGTTGTTACTTGGGTGTCCATTGAGGTTAACAAGAGAGATTCCTCTACTATTGATACTGGGGATGTCAGATGTACAAACAATATTGTTGTAGATGAAGGATCAAGAATCGACAAAAGCTGGTCCTCTGATGACTCACTTGATAGTGAACGAAGTGCTGACTTCTTTGGCTCTGCTCCTAGAAAGAGATCTTCTCTTAGTCTCGTTGAAGAGCTTAGACTCCGGGATTCACTAAAACTGAAAAAAGCACAAAATGAAACCCATGCTAGCTTCAGCACTCAAGAAGAGAGCGAGCACGTGCAAAATTTTAAAAAATCCAAAAAAATGAAGAAAACAGTAAAATGGAAGAGGTTGGATGCAGCATTTCCCGCCTCTGGTCAGTCTTCCAATAATGGATCTTCAAAATGCACTGAGGATGTTGTGCAGAACTCCAATTCAGCCTGGAATATGCAGGTGCCTCTTGGACATGAACAAAAAGGTCCCAACAATTGTGCATGTTCTGTTGAACCAAGTATTAAGCGGAGGAGGTCTAGATGGCCTTCCTCCAATTCAGTCTCCAACTATGGAGACTTGTATAGAGGTTATCAAGTAAAGCAGAAAATTGAGTCACATATACATTCCAGAGTTGACGATGATACTTGTGAATCTCCTGAAATATTAGGTAAGAAAAGGTTAAAATTAGATGGTGCTGCTGCAACTAGTAAAAACCTGTACAGATCATGTTGTGACAATGCTGAAGTGACTGCAAATTTCACATCAGTAGATTGTCTTAGTAATTCTCTTGATTTGCCTTTGGATTTCTACAAATGGATGGCAAGACCAGTAGTTTTTGGGAAGTATGGCATTATTTCTAATGGAAATTCATCGAAACCAGCAAAAATTGTACCCCTACGGAAGATTCTCGAAACTGCAAGAAAATATGATGACAAAAATGTAAAGGCGAAATCAACGTCAACTAAGAAGCTGAAGAGGATGAGAATTAGACTTGTGAAGGAAACATTTAGAAATAAGGATGTACTGAAGAGTGAATATCAAGATGCGTCGAATGTGGAAAAGAGTGGAACCCACAATGTGGTAACTGTTGAATTCGAACCTCATCATTCTATTGGGGAAACAGAGACAGCACCTCACTGTGCAATCACTGGAAATGATGAAGTGTTACATATTTTAGAAAAGAGAAGGAATGACAATTGCAGCAAGAATCATTCCTTTCCTGACAGCAGCCCTACTGTTCAACTGAAGACAAAGTACAAGGAAGTTCGCAAGCGCAGCCTTTATGAACTTATAGTCCAAGGTATTTGTGCAGGAATTAGTTTCCCTCAACTTTAAAGAGAGATCGTTTTTATAATTTAGCCTTGTTGACACTGATAATACTAGCAGCCTGTGCATGTGTCCACAAATTGAAATAGCTTTACACAGACATTTTTCTGGTTAGGATTCCGGCTCCATCATTTTTAGATTCTACATTTTCTTTAGTTTGTTCTTTGAGGCTTTTCCTGCTATAAGAAATTTCATTAAACGTGACTGATCAAAGAAAAAAAGGAAGATATCTTTTAGTTCATCCATTCCTTTCAATTGGTTTTCCCTTCCTTATTTTTCATTTCACTTAACTATACTCATTGTTTTATTAATGTCATTGGTATATTGTAATTTTTCTTCTATATAGTTGCTGGATGCATAGATAAATATAATCTCTTGGTACAAGGTACTACGCTGCCAGTTATATGAATATGGAGAAGTTCATTAATGAAATACTGGTTGAGTGCAACAAATTTATTGCACTCAACCAATAAATTGATGGTGAAATTCAAAAAACTTGTTGGTTGAGTGCACTGGTTATTAGTAAAACTCGATGCTTGACTAAGAATTATTCATCAATGAAATACTTCTCAATAGTACGTGTCAACATTTATTTTCCACTTTTATTACAATTTAACTCGTCGATATATTTCCACCAGGGAAGGATTCTGAAGTTGCAAATTCTTCTATAAAGAAGAATCCAGAATGTTTATTACAAACATCCCACAGACGTGTGGGGGAGCTGATGCGAAATTCTGGGGACGATAAATTTCTCTATAGTGAAATGCATAATGCTAAGAGGTGAACAATCTATTTATAGCTGTTGAAATTTTTTACCTGTGCAGTGCTCTGATACGAGTCATGAACTCCAGTAATTACATTAATTGACCTATCATCGTGCGTAACGGCACAGATGCAGAAAGAAGCAGCTACATGAATCTACTCAGAATTTGGATGCTTTCTGTTGTGTTTGTGGAAGTTCAAACAAAAATAATTCTGACCATTTACTAGAGTGTAACAGGTGCTTAATCAAGGTATGTATTACTTACTGCATTTTCTATTTCTATATTTGTTCTTCTTTCACCTCCCCTGAGAAGTTATTACCCTTCTTCTGTAGCTAGAATCCATTACACTGCTGAAAAACTAACAAGCTTACGACTCACAGGTGCATCAAGCTTGCTATGGCATTTCGAAAGTCCCGAAAACTCAATGGTACTGCAGACCATGCAAGACAAATTCGAAAAACATTGTAAGAATTTGTAATACCCTTGTGACCACAAGTCATCTGCTCCATTTATCTTTCTCCTGCCCCATTTTTTATAAATTCCATTTCTTTTTTTTTTTCCTGCATGCATAATTGCATATAGATCCGTTAATACCTTTTACCATAATTAGACCGTTTTCCTATGGTCAAAACTCATCCAACCAGGCTGAGTTTTATATGAAACAACCCGGATCAGTTTGGAATTATGTGTTTATTATTCCAAAATTCGAGTCTCAAGTATTGAGTCGAACCAGAGACCTGATGCTTGGGTAAGTGGAATTCGGGCCAGTGAGTTGTTTATCCTTGGTTATTAATATGAACTAAAATGTATATGAATATTATTGGACTTTTTCAAGTACTTAAATATTTGTTTGTCATTCATTTAGTTTTAAAAAGCAAGATAAATTTTAATATTTAAATTAATGAATGATTTTTTTTATAGTTTGAATAAATGGATTTTTACAGTCGAACCATGATATTGAATTTATTGTCATTTTGATTGCTCGTTGTTTTCGTTAGAAAAATGTTTTATATAAATTATTAATCCGATATTCACCTGTTGGTTGGACCAGTGACCCGACGGTTGAACTAGTAACTCGCTGACCCAGTGCTTTAGCTGGGTCAACGAGTAGGTTGGATCTGATAACTATGCCTTTTACACATCTAATGCAGGAAGATGATGATGTAACTTTTCTTCCTTGCTGTGCTTGGTGCTCAACTAGTTGATCAATCTTTGAGAATTTATCTTATTTACTTTAGCTACAATGACCCAGAAAATACTGCAAATGTTCATAATGTCTATCATGTAATGTTCATAATGTCTATTTTTACATGTTTTGGATATTAACTGATCTATAACTATGGAGTTGCTATTAATCCATGGTTTGTGGGTGAGATAAACACTCAAAACTGCCTTCTGCATCAAGTATTACTAAAAAGATGAGGAAAATTCTTTTTCTAGATCTGAAACATTTACTCCTTGTCCTTTGATTGGGAACAATCATGTTTACAGATAACTTACAGACAACATTCTTCTACTCCTCATACTCTTAGTGCTGTAGGAGTACATACTCGATAAATAAAGCCATCGAGATTTGTTGCATGCCTTTGCATATAGAGAAGTAAATGGAGAAGTGATGGTATCATTGAATCTGTACTTTTTGTTTTTTAAATAATAAATAGGTTTGTCACAGCATGTTGAAAATGAAAATGAACTTCTGCCTAGAAGCTCTAGGTATAAACCTAGCGTGAAGCTTGTTGTACCCGTTTCCAGAATAAGCCTTGTAGCCCTAAGCACTCTACTTCAAGAAGGCTCATTTGAGAAATAGATTACGTTACAACTGAAACTAATAAATGTCATGGTTACCTTGGAGCTCGCCTATAGCCCTGGAGCTGCAGCAACTATTGCTGGAGATACTTTTCTTTATGATTGTTCCTAATTTTTTGTTAATGATGAATATTGGAGAATGTAAACATTTCATTTGCAGTATACCAGAAGCTGGCAATTACTTGAGCACTCCTGTGCTACCAGCAGATCTAAAAAATTACAAATATAGACGCGTATTTTTATATATTACTGCATACCCCAATTTTTGTATAAAAAGTACAACAATAATGAAGGTAAAGGGGATAAAATATGAAGTGTATGGTGAAATGCATTTTACCCTTAAGTTATGTACCCTTTTTTTTTTTTTCTTTCATCTTTTGAAAAAGGCTGCCTTGGTGGTTGTCCAGTCGTCTAGTGATGGACCTAGCAGTCACAATGTTCACCCAGGGATTGTGACAACTATGATTTTTCTTGAAAAAATATGTTCTGACCGTTATAAGATCAAACCATATATTATTTTTTATTGGAGGGAGAATGACAAGACTAATATGTGAGCTTTAAAGAAAATACTCTGGTAGAGCAACAATGAATACATTTATTTTTGAAGGAATTTATTAAATTTAATTGGCATACTAGTTTGGTGATTACCCATGCTTAAAGTTTTTCATTAATTGGGAGCTTTTCAGTTGAGACTGTAAAGAAACTTATGACTTTAGGAGAGGCAGCAGAAGAAGAAATATTTGATGGTGTAAATTGTTCAATCAGGTAGAGTTGCTAAAGACGGCCAAACTGGCCATCGGTTATCAAACCTTTTAACAGCAAGTATGCAAAATTTTAAAAAGTACTGACAAGTGAATCAGAGATCTTAGGACATAAACTTTATAGAGAATGCTTGGTACAGAAACAAGTTCAACATTATGTATCCTTTTTGTTGGTTATCATCGATTCAAGTGCAGAAAATTTCTTGAATTATGAAATGACAGAGTATAGTACAATCTGAAGGTGAGATGAGGGAATATCACAGACTAATGGTGGATGTTCTGCTTGATAAAGAGAAAAAAATCATCACATCCTGGCGTGTATTGAAATGTTAAGACACAGATATCGGTCATCTACTCAATATTTTTCCATTTTTCAACTTTAAATTCAAGAATGCACAGTTGACATAAACAATAATTTTCCAATTTATTGCATCATTTCTACTTTTAATATGCTAGTGTTGCATTTTGTTGCCATTTAGGCTTGTGTTCTCTGTGGATATGGGGAAGGGGCCATGACTCAGGCTCTACAAAGTCAGAATGTTGTGAAGAGCCTTCTGCAGGCTTGGAACGCTATGTATAAATCCAAGATTAACATAACAATGCCTACAGATAATTCAGCTTGTCAGTTGAGCACAATGGCTTCTGGAAGTGATTCGTTTCCTGTTATGAGACTGGCAAACATGGGGCCCTCTTCAGTATCTGCTTCTGATATGAATCTCTCGAATCATTTGGGCATTGTTGACAATTCATCTTCTCCTTGTAACTTGATGCTTCAGAACAGCATCACAGCTGGTGTTCTTGACTCAACTGTAAAGCAGTGGGTCCACGTGGTTTGTGGGCTTTGGACACCAGGAACTCACTGTCCAAATGTTGATACTATGAATGCTTTTGATGTTTCTGACGCTTTATCTTCTAAAGAACATGTGGTAAGAACTAAACCAAATGAATTGAAGAGGGTTCAATATAATACACTTAGTTATTCTTTTTGTCCTGGAAATCTCAAAAAGGCTATATTTTTGCCGTTTCGTTTTATGGCTTCTAAAATTGTGAACAACAAAGTTATAGTTTTCGACTAATAAATATTACGAGGCTGTAGATTCATAAATGTTTATTGTATCAATGCATAGAAACATTCTCAATGTTGTTTCTTTCTAGGTTTGCTCAATATGCAGCCGACCAGGTGGCTCTTGCATACAATGCCGGATTTTGGATTGTTCTGTTTGCTTCCATCCATGGTGTGCCCATCAAAAGGTTTTCTTTCTTGATATGTTAATTTTCCAATTCATTATTTATCAAAGTGCCAAGACCAATCAAATTTCTATAATAGTTCAGGATGTCTTGTACGCAGGTAGAATCAGCTCACGATGTCCACTCATATTCTCCCACTTACCTGAGACTCAAATTACGAGGGCTTCCAAATAGCTAACAGTAACTGATAATGTTAACTGATCCATCACATTGTAGGACCAAATTGATATAGCATGCTAGTGTATCCATATTCAAATTATATTTCTTGAGTGAAAGAGGTTCAAATATGTTATTGATTCTCGACAAGGTTTAACAAGATACATAGTTCTATGAAATGTAGATTTTCTTGGGATAACTCCTCTACTCCTATCCCATATTTATTTAATGAATCAAATGACACCAACACAATAGTGTTCCACATTGACTATGAACTAAAAATCGCACCATCACTGAAGGTGCACCATTTCCGCGAGGTGCTAGAAATCCTGCCATTATTGAAGGTGATACCACTCCTTTAAATTTGGGCCTTATATTGAGGTGGCTTGATGTAGGGCTCTTATTGATCAAGTTTTTAGCATTTCGTTTTTGAACAACAAAGGATCTAACTAAAAATCATTTTTCTTTTGACCTTCATTTTCTATTGCTTACTTTGTTCCATTGTGGGGTTCCCTGAGGTGCTTGCACGAGTATATCCTCTATTTATTTAAAATCTTGTGCCTTTGCTACTTTGATGATTAAACTTGAGTTTTACTTATTTTCTGCAGATTCCTCTAGAATAACCTGGGTTTTCTTGTAGTTATTGATGTTGCATCAATCAAGCCTTTGCATTGGCATATGGAACTTCTCGAGACACCCAAAAAATTTTCTGGGTTGTCTGCCGAAAGCTGTTTAGACAGAAATCTAGACAGCCACAGCAATGAATTCTCTTCCCTCTGGCTAATTAAAGCGGCGTTTGTCACAAACTAATATGATGATATCTGAATGACTTCTGCTTAGAGATTCCACATAAATACTTAATTCTTAAATGGCAACAACATTACAACTTTCATAAAATTGACAAAGGACAATGCTGGTGATGGAAATTGAATTGGTATAAGTTTGTGCCAGTTCCTGACAATGGACAGTTTTTGTTGATGAGACATTGAATGTGTAAAGTTTGTCTACAGTCTCTTCCAAGTGAAAATAATATTGTAGCTCCGTTGTCAACAGGGACTACTGCAAACTGAGGCTGAAGGTAATGACGCTGAGAATGCTGGCTTTTATGGAAGATGCATGCTTCATTCTACAATCCAGCAGTTTATTCCTGGCAGTTATCCCATTAACACCGAAAGTCTTCATTCTAGAGAGAAGGGCTTAACCTCTGCTCGAACCGAGGTTTGCTGTTCATGAAACCAGCTGATAGATCTATTTGCTGATTAGAGAATTAAATTTTTTTTTTTCTAATCTGTGTTTTATGCTCATTAGGGTTACAAGCATCAAAAGCACAAAGGCTTTTGGCATAAATTTTCTCAAGAATCTGATGGAAATGGTAGTTGCCACGTTCCTCAGGAGCAGCTTAATGCTTGGGTGCATATAAATAGACAAAAGCCACACAGAAAAGGGTTTTCAAAGCTTCCATGTTCCAGAGTTGAGTCTGATTATCGGGTAATTTCGATTTCTACTGTATCTATTGAGCATATTAAAATAGCTCAGTAAGTTATTATTCTTGTCACTGATTTAATTTTTTGGATCTCTCTTATTACTTGTAGAAAGAATATGCTCGCTATAAACATTCAAAAGGTTGGAAAAATTTGGTGGTATACAAGTCAGACATACATGCTCTGGGTCTCTATACATCTCAGTTCATCTCTCGGGGGGCAATGGTTTGATCCTCTATTTTTAACTTAAGGGATCATTTCAATTTTTTCTGAAGTTCAATATCTGATTTACTGTCTTCACAGGTCGTCGAATACGTGGGTGAGATAGTGGGGCTCCGCGTGGCAGACAAAAGAGAGCGAGAATATCATTCTGGAAAGAAACTGCAGTACAAGAGTGCTTGCTATTTCTTCAGGGTAGATAAAGAACATATAATTGATGCCACCCGTAAAGGGGGGATTGCCCGGTTTGTGAACCATTCATGTAAGGTAAAATCCCAATACCTTGATAACTTTCCTACAAATAAGTGCTAGTTCTTTCAAATGAAGTCGAGTATGTGCTCATCTTCACATCAGTTCATAATGTGAAAACTGCCCTGGCCCCTAGGCCCTGCAAATTGTCACCATTGTTGTTAGTTGGCAACTAAGTTGCTGTGTTTGCATTTCTCTGCCTCTGAAAATGATCTTTTCCTGTGCCCATCGGCACTATCTGGGACCCAATTGTGATTTCTAGAAACTTGACCACATGTTTTTGCGAGTGTTGAAGTTTATGTATTCAACTGATCCGCACATCAAATATAAAAATGGATGGTAGTTTTATGTACGCTACACCTTTTTACAACAGCTTTCTAAGAATTTTAGTTGAAAAAATTTTGTTTTTTCTAAGATACTGGCTTACACCTTAACTCTTTTTTTAATTTTTTTTGCTGGACCAGCCAAACTGCGTTGCCAGAGTTGTTTCTGTGAGAAATGAGAAGAAGGTAAGCGTTCCTATCCCTGCACGTTAGCTTTTCTTATGGTCATGAAGCCAAACGCTAACACAATAGGACCAATGCACGGAATTTATGGAAGGCAGTTATAAACACACTGAAGAGCTTCATTCTGGGTTTTGAGAATTACTAAACGATGTTGAAATATGCAGGTTGTGTTTTTGGCTGAAAGAGACATATATCCTGGAGAAGAGATAACATATGATTACCATTTTAACCATGAGGATGAAGGTGAAAAAATTCCATGCTACTGTAACTCTAAGAATTGCAGGCGTTACCTGAATTGATAAAAACTATATTCCATTTTTGCATGAATTTTTATGCTGTTACAAATCATATCAAACTGATGATGGCTATTAATTTTGGCATCCAATGCATTGTAAAGATTGAATGTATATATTTACCTATGGCAATTGATATGAAAATCTGTAAGCATTTAATAGTTAAAGTGCGCAGACAAGTTTACGAGTGATACAAGAATAGCAAATCTGGTGAGCTTTCTTCTTCCAATGCAGGGCACATTGTGCGTTCTAAGAACCCCAGTTTGGTAGATTGGAGGTGGCTTCATTCACCATTTTCACCAGGGTAACCTGCCATTTATACGTAATTTGTCGATGGAACAACACTATCTGATAGAGACCTAATAAAGTTTATGGAGTTTATTTGGCAATTCAATATGCTGGCTTATAAGAAATTTCAGAGCGAGCTTATAAGGTGTAAAAAAGTTTGAGCTCATAATCAATGCAAAACTTGAGCTTTAGGGTATGTCAACTGGGTGAAAAGAATGTACCACACTTTGAGGGACACCAGGAGGTGGCAGTGGAAGGTTTCTTGGTGGCCATATTTTAGAATACAATCGTTTGTCGAATCTCCACTCTCCAATCTTTCCATAGGTCAAATTACCCTACATCAAAATCAAAGAAAGTGACCATGAAAATTAACCTTTGAGCACGAACAAACAACTGGCTCAGCATACCTGCGTGTCATAGTCACATCCATAAGTATAATGAATAATGTATGTCTTGCCAATTTTTGTATCCCAAGGAGGCTGTAAGACATTCTAAAGATCATGACTAAATTCAATAGCAGCCAATCAGAGTATAAAGACATCAAAGTTACCAAACCTGAATCATGAATTCCTTGTACAAGATGTTATGCGCCCCATGTAATGCTGATGCAACAGCATATGCATACCTGTGTTTTAAGAAGGAATAATTAGGGAACGAAAAAAACTCAAAGGTCCAGTTTGGTACACACAGCTGGACGTGATTGAACAGGACAACAAAAATATGTTTCTTACATCTCAAGAACCCAACCAAAAGCTTTATCTACTTGAGGATCCTTCTTCATTGCCAGGGAAATATTCATCCATGTTGGAGCTATCTTTTGTAGAGCATCCTTGCATATTGGTGCATATAGAAGGTAGAAAGATGTTAATATAATACAAATGAGCCTTGGGGTATGCTTGGCGAGGACTCGTTGAGTACAATAACAAAATTTCATCTTCTTATTCTTTAGTACTATCCAATCTAACTTATCAAATACACAATTAAACAAGGTATGATACCTTCTCAATAATTACTGGGGAATTTCCAATGGGATCAATATCCGTTATTCGTCCCCTTTCCTCGGGGAAGTACTTCCGAAGTACAGACTCAAACTTCTTGGGTTCAATGTAAAAGAAAGGGAATGCAGCTCCAAAGCCATCTCTAGACAAGTTTGGTATAGGCTTGACAATAATGTGATCTGGCTCCGCCATTAATATATAGCTGCATAATGTTAACATGCATATAAAACTAATTGATTGCCTGAAGAGCAGAAATCGATGAGAAGATTGAAATTATTGACATGTATTTTCATACTCTTCTTCAATTTTTGCTTGTTGAAGCCACTGCACAAATGCCCAAGGTCTGTTCAGGACTATATATCCCTGAAATTGCAACACTCAGTGACACAAGAAATAAACGTGTTCGTTTTCTAATTGCTAAATACATTTTGATGAGATGTTTCAACACTCCTCAAACTCCCTTAATTATCATAATAACAATAAAAGAAATGACATTAAAAAGGTATTGAAGATTAAAGAAAAAATAGAAACCTGATGTATGACAGATGAGAGGGGCTGAGCAACAAATGTGGGTATCTCATCCATGAAGCGATCAGATTGTCCAGAATGCAAGATTCTTGTAAAGCCACCCATCTCAGAATTGGGCATATCTTTGTGTTTCTTGAACCAGTAATACATCACCCTGCACTGCCATGTGCTGTATATCGAGTCCGATGCTGTCACTGTAGTGTGGAACAGCCTCTTCTTTTTCTTGAATCTTGATGGTGATGATTCTGTGGTCATCTTGATCATGGATTCTACTTTATTTCTTGAAACTGATGAAGATCTTGATGGGTTTGAAGGGCCTGGGAAATCTTGCTTGAGGGGTGCGTTTGATGATATGATTATGTTGTATATTAGCAGTGCTGCTGAAAATGTTATCACTAGTTTGTAAAACAAATTCCCACACCTCATACTGTTGGTATGTGTGGGATGCACGGGGACGCAACAATTTCTCTAAAAGCTCCGACGAATAGGAGAAGCTCAATCAAATCCTTAAATTACCCATGACTAAGAATTCACTTCGAGCACTAATGGCTTCAGCGTGATATGCCCCCCGTACGTTCACGAGCGAGGAGACTAAGAATGCGGGGATGGAGGCAACTGGCAAAACTGATAAAGATGTTGGAGAAAGAGATGAAGTAGAAATTTGGTTATATATTGTCAGCTGGTTGGGGTGGCTGTAGGAGAAGGTACTGAAGGTAGAGCAGGACAAGAAAATTAATTGGAAATTAAAAGAGTTGACACTTTGCTGAATCAATTCAAGCCCCCAGTAATTAAGGTAAACATATAAAAATGTGAACAGGGTAGAATTGGAATAAACAAAAAGCTTCACAAATGAACCGTAAACGGTGAATTGCCTCTTTTAAGATAGTGGGGATACAAATAAATTTTTTTAAAACTTAGCCTTAGGGTATTTATATCTTTGATTACGATTTTTGTCTAATTATTTTGTTAAAGCATAGTTTGAAATGAGACACAAATATTTTATCAAACTTTTATATTTATTTAAAATATGAGGAGAAAATAGTCTTTTTATATCGTTCGAGGAGTTAACGGATAAGGATAAGCAAATTTTATATCAAATTACAGAGAGTTCGATTGCAGAAAATATCTAATTGGAAGTGAAGTGTGTGTGATTAGAAGGAAGAAATCATGATACCGGTGGCGCTAGTGACGGAGTTTTTGGAGGAGTACACGGTGTTGCTGGCCAGAGTGTTAGAGCACGTGTTCCACGGGGCGCCGCTGCCTTTTCCCCGGCCGGTTCGTTTTCTCATCCTCCGAAATCTTCCTTTTGCTTCTACTCCAACAGTCATCAGAGTTTCTGCGCCATAGACCGTACATTTTTTTCCTGATAATTTTTCCCTTCCAATCCATGTCCTTNCCTCTGCTGAAGTCTGAAGTGCCTCTGCCTCCCTCTATGTTTCCTCTGCCTCCTCTTCCTCTACCACGACCTCGGCCTCCGCCTCTTCCTCTACCTCTTCCTCTTGAACCTGAGGATTCACTATTGGTTGAGGCCTTCAATGCTTGTTCGTCGGAGACGGTACTGCAGCTCCGATGCACCTTTTGCTCATGGACTTGCAAAGAGCTTTGGAGTTCATCAATTGAAAGTTCATTTATGTCATTTGACTCTTCAATTGAACAAACAACATAGTCAAAATTTGGAGTCATTGATCGAAGAATCTTCTCAATTATAGAGACATCTGTCATCTTGTCGCCGTATAGCCTCATTTTATTTGCAATTGCCATTGTTCTTGAAAAATAGTCATTCACTGACTCTCCTTGCTTCATTTGAAGAGTCTCAAATTCTCTGCGAAGAGCCTGAAGTTGAGAACGCTTAACTTTTGCCGAGCCTTTGTATTTCTTTTTCATAGAATCCCAGATCTCTTTAGAAGTGCTTTTGTCAAGAATAGTCTCCAAAATAGAACGATCTATGGCCTGAAACAAATAATTCTTCACCTTTAAATCAGTTAGCTTTTGCTCATCAAGTTTTTTTTGTTGTGCATCTGTGAGAACAACTCCACTTTCTGGTTCTTCAAAGCCATTTTCAACAAGAGACCAATATTGCTTTGATCTCAGAAAATTTTCCATCAACATGCTCCAATGGTCGTAGTGACCATCAAAGCGAGGTATAGCTGGTTGAACAAAATTATCAGCCACTTTTTCAGACGTCATGGTACTTTGCTGCTGCAAATTGAAGGTTCTCCTGCACTATCTCTTTCACTCTCTTGTGATTCACTCACACTCAGGTGTTTCACTCACACTTCAGGTGTTTCACTCACACACAGGTGTTTACACACACTTTCACTCTTGAACGTGGCTCTGATACCACTGTTACAAAATAGAGATAGTACAAAATGAGAGAGTTAGCTAAAAACCAGTATGTTATTCATCAGCTAATGGCCTTTATATAGGCAATACATCAGTAAAAAATAGCTATAAGGAAATAACAGCAGCAGCCATAAAAATAGAACAACCAAAAAACAAATTAACTAATTCCCAAAGACTAGGACTACACAACGGTAACATAGAACCAGAAATAACAACTTTGATTTCAGCAAATACCAGTGTTTTTTGATGAAGAAGAAGCAGAAATACAGCCACAGCAGCAAACATATGTTGAACCTACTTCAAATCAACAATTGCAACAGCAACTTAGCCTCTATGAGACTCAACAAACAAGAGATGATACTCAACCTCAACGAACTCGAAAGAGACCAGCTTGGATGACTGATTATGAAGTAACAGGGATTGATCAAACGGAGGATCCATTAACCCTTTTTGCTCTATTTTCATATGGTGATCCTATGTCTTTTGAAGAAGCAGTAAAAGAGTCAAAATGGAGGAAAGCAATGAATAATGAAATAGCAGCCATTGAAAAAAATAATACCTGGGAGTTAGTTGAACTTCCAGAAGGCCAAAAGTCTATTGGAGTGAAGTGGGTTTACAAAACTAAGCTGAACGAAAAAGGGGAAGTTGACAAATTCAAAGCACGCTTGGTTGCTAAAGGTTACAAGCAAGAATTTGGGATTGATTACACTGAAGTGTTTGCTCCAGTTGCAAGGCACGACACAATCAGAATGATGATCGCATTAGCAGCACAAAATTCATGGCCTATCTTCCAACTAGATGTCAAATCGGCTTTCCTGCATGGAGAATTACAAGAGCAGGTATTTATTGATCAACCTCCTGGTTATGTTAATATTGGCAATGAACATAAAGTGTATAAGTTAAAAAGGGCCTTATATGGTTTAAAACAAGCCCCACGGGCTTGGTATGGTAGAATTGAAGCTTATTTCTTGAAGGAAGGTTTCAAAAAATGTCCTTATGAACACACGCTGTTCATTAAATTAGAAGATGATAGGAAGGTGCTCATGGTCTGTCTCTATGTGGATGATTTAATCTACACCGGAAATGATGAGGCCATGTTTTATAAATTTAAGGAGTCTATGATGGTTGAGTTCGATATGAGTGATCTTGGGTTGATGCATTACTTTCTTGGAATAGAAGTGACTCAATCTGCTGATGGCATATTTATTTGTCAAGAAAAGTACGTGAACGAAGTGTTAGACAGGTTTCAAATGCAGAATAGCAATTCTGCAAATACTCCTATGGATGCAGGTTTGAAGCTTATCAAAAATCCTGAAGGCAAGAAGGTTGACAGCACTATTTACAAGCAAATTGTGGGAAGCCTAATGTATTTAACCACAACAAGGCCAGACATAATGTATGCTGTGAGCATAATCAGTAGATACATGGAGAGTCCTAAGGAGATACATCTTCTTGCTGCAAAAAGAATTTTGAGGTACTTGCAAGGTACTACTAAATACGGGTTGCTTTACAAAAAGGGTGGAAATTCAAGTCTATTTGGATTTACAGATTCTGACTATGCTAGAGATCCAGATGATAGAAAAAGTACATCCGGTTATGTATTCATGATGGGAGCAGCAGCAATTTCATGGTCTTCCAAGAAGCAATCAATTGTAACCTTATCAACAACTGAAGCTGAGTTTGTAGCAGCAGCAGGATGTGCTTGTCAAGCAATCTGGTTGCGAAAGATTATTGAAGAACTTCAGTTCAAGCAACAAGGACCTACTTCTATATATTGTGATAATGGATCAACAATTAAGCTCTCCAAAAATCCTGTTCTTCATGGAAGGAGTAAACATATAGATGTCAGATTTCACTTCCTAAGGGATCTTACTAAGGAAGGAATTATTGACCTCATTTACTGCAAGAGTGAAGATCAGATTGCTGACATTCTTACCAAACCTTTGAAGTTGTCTGCATTTCAAAAGCTAAGGAAGTTGCTTGGAGTCTGCACACTGAATAATTAATCTGATAGTTTGAAAACTTTCAGTTTAAGGGAAGGATTGTTAAGAAATCAAAGTTGTTATTTCTGGTTCTATGTTACCGTTGTGTAGTCCTAGTCTTTGGGAATTAGTTAATTTGTTTTTTGGTTGTTCTATTTTTATGGCTGCTGCTGTTATTTCCTTATAGCTATTTTTTACTGATGTATTGCCTATATAAAGGCCATTAGCTGATGAATAACATACTGGTTTTTAGCTAACTCTCTCATTTTGTACTATCTCTATTTTGTAACGGTCCTTTCGTCCTTGTATAATTGTATATTGTCTCTTTCTGATTTTTTCATAATTTTAGATTTCGGCATTTCAACTTTTACAAATTAGTGAATATTGGAGAGTTTTCTTTCATCTTTTCAGATAAATCAGGTTTCAATTTCTAATATTTCCTACTCCACATCTACATCAATGAGATAATATTATAAGATTAATGCCATCTAGGTTTCAATACATGTAACTGGCAGATTCAATGCAAGAATGTATAACCCATCTAATGATTATTCAATTTCTCCTCTCATCTAGAATATAGCAGTCGTTAAATAACTCTAATTTATCTCACATCACTTGTAGAAGGCTCTAGAAATTCGAGAAAATGAGAAAACAAAAGTAGAGAATTTTCGATCTTGAGGATTATATCTCTAGCTTGATGCATTGATTTGAAGTTTGAGACGGGTACGAAGTGGAATTGGGGTATAAATGGCTGCTACCTGAACGGCAGATGCAGTGATCCAAAAACATTTATCAAAGAAAATTCGAATAACCTCTCTTTTACTTCTTTGATATGGGGAATTTGATCTACCCCAAGATGAATATTCTGCATCCAATTTAACTAAAATCATTCTGATGAACCATATTAAACACTTTCAAACTTGGCCAAGCACCCAGAAAAGCATTACTTCTGCAAAGATGCTCTCAGTCTTTTGTAATAAGTTTTGATTGATCAACCTAATATTTATTTTTATTTTTACCATTTTGTAGTGTAAATGAACTTTTTATTTTGAGATTTTTAGATGTCTAAATACATTCCATTCAACCAATTCGATGACCGTTTGTTTTTTAGAATTGATAAAATCACGGAGATAAGTCGATGTTAAGTGTTATTATTCGTATATAGTAATTGAAACTTTGCCCGTTTCGGAAGTGTATACGAACGTTTAAATCTATAAATAAATAGAAATTATAAATGTTTATTTGGAGCCAAGAATTAAAATTAGACAAGATATCCAATTGACGGCGTTGCACAAATTCCTGCTGATCTATTCTTAGCTACCTCATATCCCACAACAAAATAAATTATGCAATGACTAAAATCTTGAATTTCCCTCATTTGATTATAATTTCCTCTGAAATGCTAGCAGCGTCATCAATGGGTGATGAGCATGAAATGTCGAGTTTGAGGGAGAGGCGAAAGAAGTCCCCTATAAGCCTTTCTTGTTTCTTCCAACGAAACCATTCATTTGATGGCTCCTCCTCGTCGCCGCGTTCTCCGACGTCGACTCCGAAGAAATCTCCTTCGGCGTGGATTCGATCAAAGGCTCATGATTTCCCTGAAATTAAACACAAATGCCGGAACCTTATATCGCGCATAGGGCGACAGCGCTGCCATTCTTCTGCTGATTTTAGCTATGATCCTTTGAGTTACTCCCTCAACTTCGACCATGATGATCATGCTTACGAATTTTGTGGCAGCCACCTTTCAGAAATCACGACCAAGAATGATGTCAGTATTTGAATTATTTTGCATGAAACTAGATACATGACCGACCGTCGTACTCAATCCGGGGAAGCAGATGAAACCGCCTACCGCAGTTGCATGGGTGGCCGAGGAGGAAGAGGAGGCGCCTCCACGGAGTAACATGGTGTAGCTGGCCAGCCTCCACGAAGTGAAATTATTGCCTTTGCCTAAGGAGTTGTTTTGGTAATTTTCTGTTTCTATATCTGAATAAGAAAATATTGCACTGGGAGTTGCCCTTTTCTTTCTTTTATTATAGGATTTTATTTGTAAATATTAGTTTTATTTTAACTTAATATAGGATTTTATTTGTAAATGTTAATTTCATCCCAAGGTTTTAAATCTTGTATTTTACTTGTAAATACCCAAATATTCTCAATTGGGTGTTCGATTTCTCACCATTTTTCGAATTTTTTATAGCTATTTTTTTTAGTTTTTATTGTTCATCAAAATGTGAGATTGAAAAAGAAATAAAAATTGTTAATGTCATGAAATGTGGTTGAAAATGAATTGGGAAATAAAAAATTATTTTTCACTTTTCTCCACAATTTTTCAGAGTTATGAGACAGTTTATATTACGAAATGAAACTGGGATTTATTTGGAGCTATTTTCTTATATTAAATTATTCCCCTCCCTTAATTACTATTTTTTTCCTGGTTAATTTTCGTAGTTTACTCTCCCTATGAGCTCGAAGCTTCCTTCATAACTCCCAAAACTTCTTCATAGTGACTCTCTTTTCATGTCATATGAGCATATTCAAAGGCCAAGTATTTTGTTGTCCTTCCATTTACTTCAAGACAAGTTTGGTGTATGTCTGTCCCTGCTACACTAATAATCATGTATTTAACGTGCAGATTACATGTGTGGATATCAAAATTATACAAGAATTTACAAATTTATATTCTACCTATACATATTTAATCAGATGAACATAACCATACCAGAGATGCTCTTAATTGTATTATGGTCTGAATGGTCATCCATGTAAAACCACAATATAAAAGATATTATCTACAATGCCCATAAAGAAGGGAGCATAAAATATAGAAAATCCAAATTATTAAGAGCATAATATAAATTGTATGGATTAAATTCCAAAGCTGGCTAATAGAGAATATATGAATTGGGAACGTAAGAAAAATTAAGCCCATGGGCAAGTCAGGAGTGACAATCGACCAACTGGGAGAAGTAAAACAGTCTTAAATCATCCTTAAAAACTCTTTAGAACTAACAACAAAAAGCCAAATCACCAAACTCACATTCCTGTAAATGCCTTCTTGCCAAGACCAGACGAACCGGCTGGTATCACCTTAAGAACATTGAATCTAACCGTTTTTGATAAAGGCCTGCAAAGTGATTCAGATCATAAAATTAAATTCCAGAACAAAATCATAAAGAGTTACATAAATAAGCTTCTGTTCTAACCTGCACTGGCCAATAGTAACATGGTCACCCTCTCTCACACGGAAGCATGGAGATATATGTGCTGGAATGTTTGAGTGCCTCTTTTCATATCTGGAAGATAATCAATCCTTAACAATAAGCATACATAACGTAGAGAGAATTGCAACAATACTAAATTGCATCATATCATACCTCCGGTACTTCTTAACCCAATGCAAGTAGTTACGACGGACAATGATTGTTCTCATCATCTTGGCACTGTGGCATGTCCCAGAAAGAATTCGGCCTCTGATGGACACATCACCAGTGAAGGGACATTTCTTGTCTATATATGTGCCTGAAGGAAGAGTAAAACACCTAGTCCCATTAAAATTCATTGTGCCAAAAACATTAAGAATCTGCCAGAGTTTAAAAAATATTAACAACATACATTGCTAACACTGTCAAAGATTTATCATATTGACAAACAGTAGGATAAGACACAGAAATTACAGATTAACTCCGCGTAGACAGCCATGCTTTAATATCAAGTGAGAGGGGCAATAACAACCCAGCAATTATTAAAAATGAGATAAATTATGATTAATTCAATTGCATAACATTCCATGAACGCAGTTTCTTAACCTAGCACAAGGTCTGGACTTTAAAATTTAATTGAATCAAACAGATTGAAATCAACAAAAATCATATCAATGTTTCTATCAAGAAAAAACGTAATTAAAAAAGGTCATACTTGGTGTGCACTACATACAAACCTATCCAGTACCTGCAACGGCCTAAATTAGTTCAGAACGGAAATGTATCTAAACCATTTTAGAAGTGAAACCCTACAATAAACCATTGTTTTCCAGAAAAGTAGTAGCACGATTTCTCTTCAAACAAAAGATTAACTAAAGAACTCGCATATATTGAATCTATCAATTTCCAGCATATATACATTTAGTTGAAATTGTGCCAAAAGCCACAAGCTCACCAAGTTAACCAACATAAATAAATTACACACTGTACTAACAAAAGGATTATATGTAGTATTTCTATCAGATAAGCAGGCAATCCATATCCCCAGAAACAATTTTTTGACGATCCAAATTTCAAAAGGAACAACCATAAGATCATAACAATAAGATCATAGCGATAGTTTTCGTATACATCTTCTTTTAATAACAATAAAATCATAAATTTGTATGAATAGACGGATAAATTTCCACCTTCAATAGCCTCACGAGGAGTCTTGAACCCTAGCCCAACGCTTTTGAAGTATCGGTTGCCTCCCTTTCCCGGCCTCTTTCCCTTCCCCGTTTTCTTCGAGCTGCAAAATCTCAGCTTTACTCTCCAAGCAAACTTAACACAGTGAAATAAAGTAGAAACATTTCATTAATTCTAAAAAAAATGTATACTATTTCTTACCAAAGAAACACCTTGGGTTGTTTCAAGAACGCCTTCTCAGTCTGCAAATCAATTACAAGTCAGATTCATCAAGATCATCAAAAATTCCAGAGACATAAACGCACGGTTCTCAAACATATAATACAATTTTACATCTAAATACCTGTTCCGCCATGGTTGAGTAGTTCTAGAGTGTGTGCTGGTGTGTATTCAGAAACTGCGAAGGAGGCGTACAACCCTAGCGCGCATCAGCACAATAAAGAAGATGACGTGTAGATTTTATAGGAAAACCACGGAACCCTAAAATTGGCCTGTTCCAGACTTCCAGTATCAATCCGATGACCCATAGAGCCCAACAAGACTAGTAGGCCCGTTAAGACCTTAGAAGAATTACTTGATGTTAACAAAAAATATAAGGCCTGCCCATGAATTGCTGGGCCCGAAAAGAAATTTTTGGACTTTTTTTAAAATATAATTTTTCTTTTCATTTTTTACATAAAAAAATATATTTTTAATAATTATATTGCTTTAATCTTCTCTTCTGTGAAGTTTTCTCTCACAAAAAAAAATAAAAAAGGAAAAATCATCCGCAATAAATACCAATAAAATTACGCTTTCATTATTAACAATTTCTTAAGTGATAAAAATTACCCCAAACTTAAAATGATTAATAAATTGATTTTTAGCTACAAAATAACAACTAGTATCAAATATAATTTTAATTGATTTTTTAAAAAAATTTTATTCATTGTAGAATTATTAGTAATTAGAAGATAGAAATGAAGAATTTTGATTTGTTTTTACAATATAGGAATAGTCAAAATGAAGTATTTTCTATAGTTTTCAATGTTTTATTAATTTTAATTTCAATATTTTACTAATGTACCAAAGATTGATTTTATTCATTTAATGGGAAAGAATATAAACTTTATAAATCTCGATATAAAAATATCATTTAAAGAAAAAATCGATATAGAAAATAGTATGCAAAAAGTTACGTAAGGTAATATATACGCCATGATTTGTTATTTCAAATAACGATATTTTTATCGAAAACTATTTTTCGACTAACCTAGCGTCCTCTCCGAGTGTGAATTTACAGTGGAGGTAATGAGGTCACCTGCCCCCACAGTAATTTGAAAATTCAATATTTTGTCCAATATTTTTTTTCAAAATTCTCAAAAAAGTCCTCGTAGTTTTCAAAATTTGCCCCCACAAATTTTATGTTCTAGCTCTGTCCCCGATCCTCCCTCCTTCGGATCAACAAAGCATAATACTGAAATATTAGAGACTTCTCTATTTTAGATGGTTGAATCAGTTATTAATCTTACTTTGTGAAGTAATATGTGCAAAAAGTTGTAAGAATTTTTTAACTTGTAGAAAAATTTTAAACAACCAAATTTCAAAAATGTACCTCAAAACTTAAAGAACTTAAGAAGTTATATTACATGACCTCAATTTAAGATTACTTAGGAATTTTGTTTATATAGAGATATAACATAATATGTTATTTATTAAAATTTAAAAATTATAATTTCTAAAATACAAAGTGTAAAGCATGATTACATTTTATATTCTAAATACCTTTTGGCAAATATGTCTCTCAATAATGGGCTACCAGGAACACTTTGCCGTAAGAATGCAACGTTTACAAATATATGATTACATTGATTGCAATTGAAAAAGGCAAGGTGCCATCAATTTCAATTGCAAAAAGCGACCACACCCACAACAACTAATCAAAGGGAAATTATGATGGCCTAAGCTGCAAGCATACGATCTACGTATCGTGATAATTCATCACAAGTGAGCTTTTCAACCAATCAAATCTTTCTCAAACGGACGGTGGCATATGGACCTAGGTCGGACACTCTATCTTGATATGCCTAGGACGGCAAGTTCAAGTCCAATGATTTATATAAAGGGATGAAGGTCTAGCGAGAAAGGCCGAACTAATGAATCTCTCTGCAAGTACAAATTCCAGAAATACATCCTTATTTCATTCAAATTTTCGAGCTATATAATACTATTATTCTGTCTTAATTCTATTAAGTTGATCGAAAAGTATCACGTCATTTATTGTCATCAAAACATTCTCTACTTTTCTTCGCATGGTAAATGGAAGAGACGACACTACATTTACACGAAAGAGCATATGCCAAAAGCAGCCGAAGACTTGAAGGTGAGAAGCATACATAAGTGGAAGAAG